TAAAAATGACTACCTATAAAGTATCCCCCCAGATAATCCGACACTGCCAAAAATCTAATCAGTTCACCACAGGCCAGAATAAAGCTTAAGTTTCAAATTTGATTTTTTTCTCTTTATCCGTTTTTGAGTTTTCTTTAAAATTCCAAATTTGCACTTTTCTTTAAATATCTCGAATACGGTCCATTTTAGGAAAATTTTGTAAAGGATAAAAATTATAGAGAATAATATTAGAAATAACTTTTATTTGAAGAATTTTTTTCTCCAAACGTAAATAACAGATATTTTTCATAAAATATAAAAATAACCACCTATAAAGTACCACCCCAGATGATCCGACACTGCCAACAATATAATCAGTTTACTGCAGGCTAGAATAAAGGTTAAGTTTAAAATTTGGTGTTTTTCTCTTTATCCGTTTTTGAGTTTTCTTCAAAATTCCAAATTTGCACTTTTTCTTAAATATCTCGAGTTCGGTCCATTTTAGGAAAATTTGGTATAGGATAAAAATTATAGAGAATAATATTAGAAATAACTTTTATTTGAAGAATTTTTTTTTTAAAACGTAAATAATAGATATATTCAATGAAATATAAAAATGGCCACCTATAAAGTACCCCCCTAAATGTTCCGACACTGCCAAATATATAATCAGTTCACTGCAGGCCAGAATAAAGCCTAAGTTTCAAATTTGGTGTTTTTTTCTTTATCCGTTTTTGAGTTTTCTTCAAAATTCCAAATTTGCACTTTTTCTTAAATATCTCGAGTACGGTCCATTTTAGGAAAATTTTGTGTAAAACAAAAATTATAGAGAATAATATTAGAAATAACTTTTATTTGAAGAATTTTTTTCTCAAAACGTAAATAACAGATATATTCCATAAAATATAAAAATGGCCACCTATAAAGTACCCCCCTAAATGTTCCGACACTGCCAAAAATATAATCAGTTCACCGCAGGCCAGAGTAAAGCTTAAGTTTAAAATTTGGTGTTTTTCTCTTTATCCGTTTTTGAGTTTTCTTCAAAATTCCAAATTTGCACTTTTTCTCGAATATCTTAAGTACGGTCCATTTTAGGAAAATTTTGTATAGGATAAAAATTATAGAGAATAATATTAGAAATAACTTTTATTTGAAGAATTTTTTTCTCAAGACGTAAATAACATATATTCCATACAATATAAAAATGACTACCTATAAAGTATCCCCCCAGATGTTCCGACTCTGCCAAAAATCTAATCAGTTCACCGCAGGCTAGAATAAAGGTTAAATTTAAAATTTGGTGTTTTTCTCTTTATCCGTTTTTGAGTTTTCTTCAAAATTCCAAATTTGCACTTTTTCTCAAATATCTTGAGTACGGTCCATTTTAGGAAAATTTTGTATAAGACAAAAATTATAGAGAATAATATTAGAAATAACTTTTATTTGAAGAATTTTTTTCTCAAAACGTAAATAACAGATATATTCCATGAAATATAAAAATGGCCACCTATAAAGTACCCCCCTAAATGTTCCGACACTGACAAAAATATAATCAGTTCACCGCAGACTAGAATAAAGGTTAAGTTTAAAATTTGGTGTTTTTCTCTTTATCCGTTTTTGAGTTTTCTTCAAAATTCCAAATTTGCACTTTTTCTCAAATATCTTGAGTACGGTCCATTTTAGGAAAATTTTGTATAAGACAAAAATTATAGAGAATAATATTAGAAATAACTTTTATTTGAAGAATTTTTTTCTCAAAACGTAAATAACAGATATATTCCATGAAATATAAAAATGGCCACCTATAAAGTACCCCCCTAAATGTTCCGACACTGACAAAAATATAATCAGTTCACCGCAGACTAGAATAAAGGTTAAGTTTAAAATTTGGCGTTTTTCTCTTTATCCGTTTTTGAGTTTTCTTCAAAATTCCAAATTTGCACTTTTTCTTAAATATCTCGAGTACGGTCCATTTTAGGAAAATTTTGTATAGGATAAAAATTATAGAGAATAATAATAGAAATAACTTTTATTTGAAGAATTTTTATCTCCAAACGTAAATAACATATATTTTTGATAAAATATAAAAATGACCCCTGTACAAAGTATCCCTCAGATGTTCCGACACTGCCAAAAATATAATCAGTTCACCACAGGCCAGAATAAAGCTTAAGTTTTAAATTTGGTGTTTTTCTCTTTATCCTTTTTTGAGTTTTCTTCAAAATTCCAAATTTGCTTTTTTTCTTAAATATCTCGAGTACGGTCCATTTTAGGAAAATTTTGTATAGGATAAAAATTATAGAGAATAATATTAGAAATAACTTTTATTTGAAGAGTTTTTTTCTTCAAACGTAAATAACAGATATTTTCCATAAAATATAAAAATGACCACCTATAAAGTACCCCCCTAAATGTTCCGACACTGCTAAAAATATAATCAGTTCACCGCAGGCCAGAATAAAGGTTAAGTTTAAAATTTGGCGTTTTTCTCTTTATCCGGTTTTGAGTTTTCTTTAAAATTCCAAATTTGCACTTTTTCTTAAATATCTCGAATACGGTCCATTTTAGGAAAATTTTGTAAAGGACAAAAATTGTAGAGAATAATATTAGAAATAACTTTTATTTGAAGAATTTTTTTCTCAAAACGTAAATAACAGTTATATTCCATACAATATAAAAATGACTACCTATAAAGTATCCCCCCAGATAATCCGACACTGCCAAAAATCTAATCAGTTCACCACAGGCCAGAATAAAGCTTAAGTTTCAAATTTGGTTTTTTTCTCTTTATCCGTTTTTGAGTTTTCTTTAAAATTCCAAATTTGCACTTTTCTTTAAATATCTCGAATACGGTCCATTTTAGGAAAATTTTGTAAAGGATAAAAATTATAGAGAATAATATTAGAAATAACTTTTATTTGAAGAATTTTTTTCTCAAAACGTAAATAACATATATTCCATAAAATATAAAAATTACTACCTATAAGTACCCAGCATTTTTTTAAAAAAATTTTTGCATTTTTTTGATCAAATTTTTTTCTTTTTCTTCCTTTTTTCAGTCAAAATTTTCTTTACAAATATTTTTTTTTGCAAATTTTTTTTTTTGCAAAATTTTTTATTGACTAATTTTTTTTTTGTCCAAATTTTTTCTTTTTTCGATCAAAATTTTTTTGCATTTTTTTAATCGGCAAAATTTAAAAAAAAAATTTTTTGGGTAAAATGTTTTGGTCAAAAAGTCAAAATGTAACTTTTATTTGAAGAATTTTCCAAACAAATATATTCCATAAAATATAAAAATGACCCCCTATAAAATACCCCCCCCCCAGACGTTCAAATGATGCATTTTAGCGACTTGCAACAAGTATACCTTTTTTAAAGCAAATTTTTAAAATAATTAATCGTTTTTCATAAATATCCATTCTTAAAAAAAAATCTGTAGTAAATACCAGATTGGCACGCCAATTTAGAACGCCCTGTACATGTAATGCAACAAAAAAGCTGATATTCTTTTTTATCACCCAAAAAAACTTACTTTCACAAAATTCGCTTATATTTATTCAAAAAAGTATTTGAATTATCGTTAAAATATTGGAAAAAAAAATATTTTCTACACCCTTATTTTTGTCCAAACTAACCACGTCAAAAGTTTGGCCCTTTCTTTAATGAACACACTGTATTTATGCACTCAGATATGCTCTACAACTCTAAAAGTATTTTTAGAGTAAATAAAGATTTTTTCCTTTTTTTTATATATATAAAAATACAAACCCTCCAATGGGGGCAAACACGCTCAAAGTTTCCCAGTTCAAAACGAGCGAATTTCGACTGTATCCAAATTCACTAGCGCCATCTATTGGCAGTATCTATTTAGCTACTTCCATACTATTAGTAGTTCTTTATATATATTAGAATTGTAACATTTTAAAAAAGAAAATGACAGTTTTTCTTTTTCTATTCGTAAAGAAAAATGATATTCTTGATGATAATTTTGATATTTTTAATATCTTTGATGTTATTCTTGATGATATTCTTGATGACATTCTTGATGACATTCTTGATGCCATTCTTGATGATATTCTTGATGACATTCTTGATGACATTCTTGATGATATTCTTGATGACATTCTTGATGATATGACATTCTTGATGATATTCTTGATGACATTCTTGATGATATTCTTGATGACATTCTTGATGATATTCTTGATGACATTCTTGATGATATTCTTGATGACATTCTTGATGATATTCTTGATGACATTCTTGATTATATTCTTGATGACATTATTGATGATATTCTTGATGATATTCTTGATGACATTTTTGATGATATTCTTGATGACATTCTTGATGATATTCTTGATGACATTTTTGATGATATTCTTGATGATATTCTTGATGATATTCTTGATGATATTCTTGATGACATTCTTGATGATATTCTTGATGATATTCTTGATGACATTCTTGATGATATTCTTGATGATATTCTTGATGACATTCTTGATGATATTCTTGATGATATTCTTGATGACATTCTTGATGATATTCTTGATGACATTCTTGATGATATTCTTGATGACATTCTTGATGATATTCTTGATGACATTCTTGATGATATTCTTGATGACATTCTTGATGATATTCTTGATGACATTCTTGATGATATTCTTGATGACATTCTTGATGATATTCTTGATGATATTCTTGATGATATTCTTGATGACATTCTTGATGATATTCTTGATGACATTCTTGATGCCATTCTTGATGATATTCTTGATGACATTCTTGATGACATTCTTGATGATATTCTTGATGACATTCTTGATGATATGATATTCTTGATGACATTCTTGATGATATTCTTGATGACATTCTTGATGATATTCTTGATGACATTCTTGATGATATTCTTGATGACATTCTTGATGATATTCTTGATGACATTCTTGATGATATTCTTGATGACATTCTTGATGATATTCTTGATGACATTCTTGATTATATTCTTGATGACATTATTGATGATATTCTTGATGATATTCTTGATGACATTTTTGATGATATTCTTGATGACATTCTTGATGATATTCTTGATGACATTTTTGATGATATTCTTGATGATATTCTTGATGATATTCTTGATGACATTCTTGATGATATTCTTGATGACATTCTTGATGATATTCTTGATGACATTCTTGATGATATTCTTGATGATATTCTTGATGACATTCTTGATGATATTCTTGATGATATTCTTGATGACATTCTTGATGATATTCTTGATGACATTCTTGATGATATTCTTGATGACATTCTTGATGATATTCTTGATGACATTCTTGATGATATTCTTGATGACATTCTTGATGATATTCTTGATGACATTCTTGATGATATTCTTGATGACATTCTTGATGATATTCTTGATGATATTCTTGATGACATTCTTGATGATATTCTTGATGACATTCTTGATGATATTCTTGATGACATTCTTGATGATATTCTTGATGACATTCTTGATGATATTCTTGATGACATTCTTGATGATATTCTTGATGATATTCTTGATGACATTCTTGATGATATTCTTGATGACATTCTTGATGATATTCTTGATGACATTCTTGATGACATTCTTGATGCCATTCTTGATGATATTCTTGATGACATTCTTGATGATATTCTTGATGACATTCTTGATGACATTCTTGATGATATTCTTGATGACATTCTTGATGCCATTCTTGATGACATTCTTGATGATATTCTTGATGACATTCTTGATGATATTCTTGATGACATTCTTGATGATATTCTTGATGACATTCTTGATGATATTCTTGATGACATTCTTGATGATATTATTGATGATATTCTTGATGACATTCTTGATAATATTCTTGATGATATTTTCGATATTTTCCAGTGCACAAATGAAACACATTCGAAATTAACAAACAAATAATACAAAAAAATAATTTGTTATGCCTCCCATATCTTGTTTTCTTTTTTTATTTTGTAGAGGGAAGAAAAATCTTCAATTTCTTGGTAGGTGTTGCGAATTTTTGTCTGTCGCATACGAGAAAGTGAATATAGATAGCCAAAATCCGCCGTTCAAAATAAAATACAACGAAGAATGCTTCACCGATCTCGTTGCAATTTTGAGCGAATTGTTTTTTAAACCTGTTGAATTCTACCACGAAGCTCTATATGGTGGTACTGATTTTGCTTATAAGGTAAGTCAACGTCATATTATAGTTACATTATTATATTATTTTTGATGGTATTTTTTGATATTTTTAATGATATTTTTCATATTTTTGATGATATTTTTCATGTTATTTTTAATGATTTTTTTTTATATTTTTGTTGATATTTCTCATATTTTTGTTGATATTTCTCATATTTTTGATGATATTTTTCATATTTTTGATGATATTATTGACGTTGGTTTTGATGATGTTTTTGATGATATTTTTTAATTATTTTTTTTTTCATATTTTTGATATTTTTGTTGATATTTCTCATATTTTTGATAATTTTCATGATATTTTTAATGATATTTTTGATGGTATTTTTTGATATTTTTAATGATATTTTTGCTATTTTTCATATTTTTGATATTTTTTCATATTTTCGATATTTTTCATATTTTTAATATTTTTGATTATATTTTTCATATTTTTAATATGTTTGATGATATTATTGACGTTGGTTTTGATGATATTTTTTAATTATATTTTTTAGTTTATATTTTTCATATTTTTAATGATATTTTTGTTGATATTTTTCATATTTTTAATGATATTTTTATTGATATTTTTCATATTTTTAATGATATGTTTGATGATATTATTGACGATGGTTTTGATGATATTTTTGATATTTTTCATTTTTAATGATATTTTTGTTGATATTTCTCATATTTTTAATGATATGTTTGATGATATTATTGACGTTGGTTTTGATGATGTTTTTGATGATATTTTTTAATTATTTTTTTTTCATATTTTTGATATTTTTGTTGATATTTTTCATATTTTTGATAATTTTCATGATATTTTTAATGATATTTTTGATGGTATTTTTTGATATTTTTAATGATATTTTTGCTGATATTTTTCATATTTTTGATGATATTTTTTCATATTTTCGATATTTTTCATATTTTTAATATTTTTGATTATATTTTTAATATGTTTGATGATATTATTGACGTTGGTTTTGATGATGTTTTTGATGATATTTTTTAATTATATTTTTTAGTTTATATTTTTCATATTTTTAATATTTTTGTTGATATTTTTCATATTTTTAATGATATTTTTATTGATATTTTTCATATTTTTAATGATATGTTTGATGATATTATTGACGATGGTTTTGATGATATTTTTCATATTTTTGATAATATTTTTCATGATATTTTTGATATTTTTAATGATATTTTTGTTGATATTTCTCATATTTTTGATAATATTTTTGATGATATCCTTGATGATATTCTTGATGATATTCTTGATGTTATTCTTGATTGCAGAAAGTGACAATTTTCACATGAGTGATAAATATTGTCGCACGAGACGTAAGCCGAATATGAAAAATCACTTTTACATGGCTCCAACATACATTATTATATTATTTTTGATGATATGTTTAATATTTTTGTTGATATTTTTCATATTTTTAATGATATTTTTGTTGATATTTTTCATGATATTCTTGATGACATTCTTGGTGACATTCTTGATGACATTATTGATGATATTTTCGAGTACAGAAAGTGACAATCTTCACATGAGTGGTAAAGCCGAATGTGAAAAATAACTTTTACACAAGTAGTGATTTACAGTATCAATCGGCGTAACATCATGGCTCCAACATACATTATTATATTTTTGATGATATTTTTGTTGATATTTTTCACATTTTTGATGATATTTTTGTTGATATTTTTGATGATATTCTTGATGATATTTTCAATATTTTCGAGTGCAGAAAGTGACAATTTTCACATGAGTGGTAAATATTGTCGCACGAGACGTAAGCCGAGTGTGAAAAATAACTTTTACACAAGTAGTGATTTACAGTATCAATCGGCGTAATATCATGGCTCCAATATACGTGAATTTTTTAATGTCTCTGGTGAAAACATTTTTTTATGATGTTTTTGATGATATTTTTAATGATATTGTTGATCATATTTTTGATATTATATTTTTGATGATATTCTTGATGACATTCTAGATGTTCTTGATATTTTCAAGTGCAGAAAGTGACAATTTTCACATGAGTGGTAAATATTATCGCACGAGACGTAAGCCGAGTGTGAAAAATAACTTTTACACAAGTAGTGATTTACAGTATCAATCGGCGTAATATCATGGCTCCAATATACGTGAATTTTTTAATGTCTTTGTTGGAAACATTTTTGATGATGTTTTTGATGATATTTTTAATGATATTGTTGATGATATTTTTCATATTTTTGATAATATTCTTGATGATATTTTCGAGTGCAGAAAGTAACAATTTTCACATGAGTGGTAAATATTGTCGTACGAGACGCAAGCCGAGTATGAAAAATCACTTTTACACAAGTAGTGATTTACAGTATCAATCGGCGTAATATCATGGCTCCAACATATATTATTATATTATTTTTGATGATATTTTTAATGATACTTTTGATCATATTTTTAATGATTTTTTAAATGATATTTTTGTTGATATTTTTCACATTTTTGGTGATATTTTTAATGATATTCTTGATGTTATTTTCGAGTGCAGAAAGTGACTATTTTCACATGAGTGGTAAAAATCACTTTTATACAAGTAGTGATTTACATTATCAATTTGATATATTTGATATTTTTCATATTTTTGATGATATTTTTAATTATATTTTTTGATGATATTTTTGTTGATATTTTCCATATTTTTGATGATATTTTTAATTATATTTTGTGTTGATAGTTTCCATATGTTTGATGATATTTTCCATATTTTTGATACTTTTAATGATATTTTTGATATTTTTTGATATTTTTGTTGATATGTTTCATGTTTGATATTTTTAATGATATTTTTGATGATATTTTCCATATTTTTAATGATATTTTTAATTATATTTTTTGATGATATTTTTGTTGATATTTTCCATATTTTTGATATTTTTAATTATATTTTTTGTTGATATTTTCCATATGTTTGATGATATTTTTGATGATATTTTCCATATTTTTGATACTTTTAATGATATTTTTGTTGATATGTTTTATATGTTTGATATTTTTAATGATATTTTTGATGATATTTTCCATATTTTAAATTATATTAGTTGATGATATTTTTGTTGATATTTTCCATATTTTTGATGATATTTGTCACATTTTTAATATTTTTGATGATATTTTTGATGATATTGTTGAAGACAAGTTAATCGATTTTTTAGATGAGTAATAAACCAGAACATTTTGCCGAAAAATTGCTGATTTCCATCGTTCCTAAATTGGTGGCCAAACAAGAAGAAGATCCCGATTATACCGTACCGCACTACGTACTGATAAGATTGTGCCAAATGTGCGGTTATATCGCGATGAAGCAGTTGGAATATATGGACGATACGGTCTACAACGAATTGAAACGAAGACAGAATATAAGAGATGAAATGAAAAGGACAAAGAGTAATAAAAAATCCGAGAAATTAAAGAAAAAGAAACAAAAAAATAAATCTGCGACTTCCGCGCTTGAGGCGTCATCTTTAAATGTTTCAATGGTTAGTAAACATCAAATTTTATTTATATTTTGATATATTTTTAATATATTTTTAATATATTTTTAATATATTTTTAATATATTTTTAATATATTTTTAATATATTTTTAATATATTTTTAATATATTTTTAATATATTTTTAATATATTTTTAATATATTTTTAATATATTTTTAATATATTTTTAATATATTTTTAATATATTTTTAATATATTTTTAATATATTTTTAATATATTTTTAATATATTTTTAATATATTTTTAATATATTTTTAATATATTTTTAATATATTTTTAATATATTTTTAATATATTTTTAATATATTTTTAATATATTTTTAATATATTTTTAATATATTTTTAATATATTTTTAATATATTTTTAATATATTTTTAATATAATTTTGATATATTTTTGATATTATTTTTAATTTTTTTGATATATTTTTTATCCAGAATGAAGATACTGTACTAGAAGGAGCTCAAGCGGAAGATATGGATGCCGATTTCATATTGAACGTCTTAGAAAAAGATATTGTTACCGGTTCCGGGTACTTGGCGCAGATGGCGCCAATCATAGTAAAAATATGCGAAAGGCCAGATATGTTTAAAACGGTAGAGTTACAATTTGCGGGTGTCACCGCTTTATCGAGGTTAGTATATATAAATGATATATTTTTTATATATTTTTGATATATTTTGATATATTTTGATATATTTTTTAACAAATGAGTGCTCTTTAAACTTTATGTAGATGTACATGAATATAAATAAAAAAAATTTTTGATATATTTTTAATATATTTTTGATATATTTATTTTTGACATATCGTTGATATATTTTTGATATATTGTTGATATATTTTTGATATATTGTTGATATATTTTTGATATATCTCTGATATATTATTGACATATTTTTTTTGATATATTTCTTACATATTTATTTTTGATGATATATTTTTAATTATATATATTTTTGATGATATGTTTGATGATATATTTTTGATTTTATTTTATTTTCCATATTTTTGATATATTTATTTTTAATATATTTTTGATATATTTATTTTTAATATATTTTTGATTTTATTTAATTTCTCATATTTTTATATTTTTAATGATATGTTTGATGGTATTTTTGATGATATTTTTAATAATATTTTTAATGATATTTTCGTAGATATTTTCGTAGTTTTTCTTAGATATTTTCTTATTTTCGTAGACATTTTCGTAGACATTTTCGTAGATATCTTTGTAGATATTTTCGTAGATATTTTCGTAGATATTTTCGTAGATATTTTCGTAGATATTTTCGTAGATATTTTCGTAGACATTTTCGTAGATATTTTCGTAGTTTTTCTTAAATATTTTCTTAGATATTTTCGTAGACATTTTCGTAGACATTTTCGTAGACATTTTCGTAGATATCTTTGTAGATAGTTTCGTAGATAGTTTCGTAGATATTTTCTTAGATATTTTTGTAGATATTTTCGTAGATATTTTCTTAAATATTTTCGTAGATATTTTCGCAGATATTTTCGTAGATATTTTCGTAGACATTTTCGTAGACATTTTCGTAGATATTTTCGTAGTTTTTCTTAAATATTTTCTTAGATATTTTCGTAGACATTTTCGTAGACACTTTCGTAGATATTTTCGTAGAAATTTTCGTAGACACTTTCGTAGATATTTTCGTAGATATTTTCGTAGATATTTTCGTAGATATTTTCGTAGATATTTTCGTAGATATTTTCGTAGATATTTTCGTAGATATTTTCGCAGATATTTTCGTAGATATTTTCGTAGACATTTTCGTAGACATTTTCGTAGACATTTTCGTAGATAGTTTCTTAGATATTTTTGTAGATATTTTCGTAGATATTTTCGTAGATATTTTCGTAGATATTTTCTTAGATATTTTCGTAGATATTTTCGCAGATATTTTCGTAGATATTTTCGTAGACATTTTCGTAGACATTTTCATAGATATTTTCGTAGTTTTTCTTAAATATTTTCTTAGATATTTTCGTAGACATTTTCGAGGACACTTTCGTAGATATTTTCGTAGAAATTTTCGTAGACACTTTCGTAGATATTTTCGTAGATATTTTCGTAGATATTTTCGTAGATATTTTCGCAGATATTTTCGTAGATATTTTCGTAGACATTTTCGTAGACATTTTCGTAGATAGTTTCGTAGATATTTTCTTAGATATTTTTGTAGATATTTTCTTTGATATTTTCGTAGATATTTTCGCAGATATTTTCGTAGATATTTTCGTAGACATTTTCGTAGATATTTTCGTAGTTTTTCTTAAATATTTTCTTAGATATTTTCGTAGACATTTTCGTAGACATTTTCGTAGACATTTTCGTAGACATTTTCGTAGATATTTTCGTAGACATTTTCGTAGATATTTTCGTAGACATTTTCGTAGATATTTTCGTAGACACTTTCGTAGATATTTTCGTAGATATTTTCGTAGACATTTTCGTAGATATTTTCGCAGATATTTTCGTAGACATTTTCGTAGATATTTTCGCAGATATTTTCGTAGATATTTTCGTAGATATTTTCGTAGATATTTTCGTAGACATTTTCGTAGATATTTTCGTAGTTTTTCTTAAATATTTTCTTAGATATTTTCGTAGACACTTTCGTAGATATTTTCGTAGATATTTTCGTAGATATTTTCGTAGATATTTTCGTAGATATTTTCGTAGACATTTTCGTAGATATTTTCGCAGATATTTTCGTAGATATTTTCGTAGACATTTTCGTAGACATTTTCGTAGACATTTTCGTAGATATTTTCGTAGATATTTTCGCAGATATTTTCGTAGATATTTTCGTAGACATTTTCGTAGATATTTTCGTAGACATTTTCGTAGATATTTTCGTAGTTTTTCTTAAATATTTTCTTAGATATTTTCGTAGACATTTTCGTAGACATTTTCGTAGACATTTTCGTAGATATTTTCGTAGACACTTTCGTAGATATTTTCGTAGATGTTTTCGTAGATGTTTTCGTAGATATTTTCGTAGACATTTTCGTAGACATTTTTGTAGATATTTTCGTAGAAATTTTCGTAGACATTTTCGTAGATATTTTCGCAGATATTTTCGCAGATATATTCGTAGATATTTTCGTTGATATTTTCGCAGATATTTTCGCAGACTTTTCGTAGACATTTTCGTAGATATTTTCGTAGATATTTTCGTAGATAGTTTCGTAGATATTTTCTTGGATATGTTCGCAGATATTTTCGTAGACATTTTCGTAGATATTTTTGATAATTTCTATTTTTTCTATTTTTTTTTTCGTCGATTTTTTTAATATATTTTTTTTTAGGTACATGGTGGTATCGAGCATGTTTTGTAGGAAGCACATCAGACTGTTGTTTACCGTTTTCGAAAGGACCAAATTCCACGACATCAAATCGAATATATTGATCCACATATCAGATTTACTGACCAGATTTCCTAATATCGTCGAACCTTGGACCGATAGAATATTTCAAAGGTAAGAATTATAAATTCTGATATTTTTGATATTTTTGATGATATTTTTGATGATATTTTTGATGATATTTTTGATGATATTTTTGATGATATTTTTGATGATAATTTTGATATTTTTTGAATTGAT